TCTACCGCTTAAACTTACTTTTACTTTTACTTACTTATTTCATTTTTTCCTAAAGAACATAAACGTGGTACAAAGCTCAATAACAATATTGAAAATTAATAAATAAATAATTATTGAGGTTACATAAATGTGCAACGTTTTCATTACAAGTATATAAACAATAACAACACACAAATTATTCAGAATTTCTACTACTTGAATCGGCTCAAATTTATATAAAATTACAGGTCGTATTATTTCGTTCAACATTTATTTATAATACATTTAATGTTGGTATGCGTGGACACTATTTTATAAGCTGCATTAATATTTTCACAAGATTGTTCTGTGTTTTTTGTTGTATTTATAATATTCTTAACGAATATTTGGTCGTTTGGTTTATTTATGTATGAAATATTTTTATGAGTGAATTTTTTAATTGTCTATTATTAATTACTGCAAATTTGAATCCTTTATGCTAGCGAATCAAATACTTTATGTTAATAAATTACAATATCCACAAATATTCCAAATGCATACTCGCTTCTTGTAAATACATATAACTACCCATTTTTATGCTCGAAATAAGTAATCCTCCCTGCCAAATTTTTAAACATAGGTGTAAACGTAATCGAATTTAAAATTTTCACCATATAATCTTCACCTAAAAATTGGCTTTTATTACTCCCAACAGAAAAAATTTAAGCTGTTGCTATCTGTGCTAAAGACATGACTGGTCTTTCTGCTTCTTAAGATTTTCTTATTTACAATTTACAAACTTTCACGGTGTGCCTGAACCAGCCGTAAATGAAAGGTTCTTACATATGAGTTTTTTACCTGATTATGTTAGACGTTAAAATTAAAAACTATTTGAATCCAATATCCAAAGAATCGGACGGGACCTTTTCGAAAAAAACCCCATCTTACTTAATTATATCAACTTATTAACCGACTTTAAAAAAGGAGAAGGTTATCAATTCGTCGGAATATTTTTTTTTTTATGTATGTTACCGCATAACTTTGGACCACGTTTGCCGATTTCTATAATTCTTTTTTTGAAGGAAAGGTGTTACCTCACAGGTAGTACCATACCATTAGCGCACACAAGGGGTGGTTTTGGGGTTCAAATCCCCCCCCCCCCCTGCTTATGACGTTTTTACTTTTTGTAAAATGGTCAAGTAGCACTGCCACCTCAACATATTATTGTTTTGGAAATTTTAATATTTATTTTAGGGAATTTTTTTATATGCATTAAAAAATAATAACAGGCAAGGTAAATTTACCTATTTCATCGTATTAGCAGAGCTCTTAACAAGTGTGTATTGATTTAAAATACCTTAAATTATCTTACCGCTAACAAATGTGGCATTATCTGCAGTGTTACATGAAATATTACATATTATATCTGACTCCAAGAAATTAAGATATTAGATGTTGCTTTAATTTGGATCCTCTTTAGTGGAAATATGAATGGAAAGGATAAAAAGTAGCTTATCGTTAAGGAAAGCACCATGGAAGCATACAATTAGTTGTGATAACGCATGATGTAGTCATGCAGAGGGAGGTAAAAAATTGCCTAATTCTTAGAGCTCCTTGTTATAGTTTATAGACAGATAAACTACTCGCCCTACCGCTGCTGGTGTCGCGTTTCGCTTGTTATGGCGTTTTCTTTTCTACCGCAAAATGTTACCTTCTCATTGACCTCTTACTACAAATACTAAGGCGAAGGCCATGAAGAGGCAACATTTTTTTTTAGAAACGAATACGCGCTTAGATTCGGTACATCAGTCCCGAGGCTGATAATTTCTGCCGAAAAGAGATTGGAACAAACAAGCAACGCCTTTGTGAAGTTACCATGCACATGGTCTTCCCGAAATATGCAGCTAATCGCACTAAATAATGATGAATATAATTCCATATTTTACTTGCCTTCCGGTTTGCATTCAATTTTGGAAATACATAAATCACTAAAAGTCCGCGTTAAAATGATGTTCAAAATATATTTTTGAAATATTTTTTTTTTTTTAAGTAAAAAACCACTTTATAATTTCTTTAAAGAATATGGTATCTTCAATTTATAAGAAAATGTCATAAGCACAGTTTAAGTCAAATTGCTAACTTCGAGTTCGTTCCACCACAATGAGCAACATAATAAAAATACAAGCTCAGTTAATTTTTTCGGTATTCGAAATATTAAAAAAATTAAGCAATCGTGAAAAACCAGAGATCAAGAAAAATTAACATAAGTGTAAAAATTTCAGGGAATTAATTAATTTATTTTTACTAAAATTCTTTTTTAAAATTTTGTATTTCTTGTGAAAGTTGAGCGCATCTGGTGTTTATAAAACTTTTTATTAAACAAATAATTTTTAAGCAAAAACACAACCGACTTCAAGTCTCATATACAAATATAGGAGTACCGTTAATTTCTGCATGATCCAATGATCGGATCTAAACCAAATTACGGGACGACCTTTGAGGTATCATCTTTCCGATAAAAAAAAAAGAATTATTGAAATCGGTTCACGTGGTCTAAATTATGCGGTATATTGGTTTACGCCAACAGGCTGTGCGGCGGCGGCGTGGTCATGTTCAAAAATAATCGGCGGCGACGCCGGCGCTACTGCCCATAACTTGCTGTCTTCACAGGCAAAAGTTTTTATCTTGATAATTTCAGACTTTGTTTAAAAATTATAAAAATTACACAAACTTTTCATCCCAATTCCATGCATTTTAATTTCTAGAATAATTTTTCGTATGCAGTTTTATAGCTTATTAAATTCTAAAAAATCGCGCTGATTTTTGATAATTTTTCTTTGCTGATATTTGTTAGATAAAAAGCTATACTTTTATATAAAAATAATTAACCTTAAAAAGATCAAAAGAAAAGTAGACAAAACTGGTAAAAATATTGATGTGCTATCGTTTGTCGCGGGGTGTAATATAAATTAATATAATTAAGAAAAAGGGGGTTTTTCGAAAAGGGCCCGTTCAATTTTTTTCAAACAGTTTCTAATTTCATCGTATAACAGAATCACGCCAAAAAAACCCATATGCAAGAACCTTTCATTTACGGCTGGTTCAGGCACACCGTACTTTTAAAGAATTACTACCTTTGTTGGGTCGTGGTAATGTAGCTTTTTGAAGAATCGAGTGTCACTTAATATAAATTGATCTTTCTTAGGATGGTTTTACGGCACATGTGGCAGGTGCGCAAGGTGTCCGCACATCGTGAGCATGCACCATGACCACACAAAAATGCGACGTCACGTGTCCGTTCCATACAGATGCTGCAATAGTGCGTCTCTTCATACTCTTGTATTTTATTTTCCAAATACCTCAAACGATCAGCGGAGGGTATGCGTGTCTGGTCAGAACTGGCCACCAAACGTCCACCGGCAGTTATGCGTCGCTCGATTTGAACACCACAGCGCAGGCACTTTTTCATACGCAAGCCACATTCCTCACAGGAAATCTGATGTTGACATGGCTCAAATTTAATAAGTTGCAACTTTTCGTCGCAAACTATACACTCCTGAGGGCCGTTGTGGAAAGGAACGTTTGGGGGCGGTGGCGGAGGTGTAGCTTTCGGACTCGGTCTGGAAACCGCAGCGCATTCCGGTGAACCTCGCTCACCGCTGGCTGCAGGTGGTTTCGGCGCTTTTTTGCGAATACCAGTCGGTTGATTAACACCGGAAGTTGAAGGAATCGGAGTCATATGTACATATTGAGTGTCCAGCGCATTACTTCCACTGCCTAATGCATTGACCTGTGCTTGCCGATCAGAGTTGAGTTTTTTTAGTCCTGCTGGCTCTTCGGTTGAGCGGTCAATGTGATGAGTTGGAGTGCTTCTGTTGGGTGTAGCCATCTGCGTAAAATTATTGGGTTGTAATGCATCTATAATGATATCAACAGAGTGGTTACTAGGCCCAGCAACAGCGCCGGCCACACCAGCCGTGCCGCCCACTTCGCTTTCTGGGTTTAAATTTAGGGCCTGTATGTTGCGCTCCACATCGCCTGATGCATTGTTGATTTCGTTAATCGCTGTCGACGACTGCGGTACACCAGTCTGCAATCTCACTGGGCATTGGTAGCCCAAAATTAAATCTTTCATATCCTTGTTTGTGATCCATTCGAAAATATTTGTGCCTTTGTTATTTTGCTCTACGCGGCAACCACGCGACGATAAATAACAAAGGATTGTATACATGAGACGATCGTCTAGAACGTGGGAAAGATTATCGAAGATTGCTCGTATCTCCGGTGCGTCTTCTCCGGACGGTTCAGCTGCTTGTTGCAAATTAGTTTTCTTAATTACACATAAGTGCATTGCATTGTCGCCATCTTCATCACGAGCCATAATATCGCAACCGAGAGTTACAAGTCGCTCAATTACGGACGCGTGTCCTTGCGAAACTGCTAAAAGAAACGGTGTTTGACGGCGGTTATTTCGTATATCAATTTCTGCCAGACCCTCTATTATCAATGTCTCGACAACGTGTGCGTGACCATTTAGGGCGGCCAAATGCAACGCGGCAAAACCATCATCTTTCTTAACGTTTACTAGTTGCCGAGCCAGTTGCAGTATGCGTTTAGCTGCGACCACGTTGCCCTTAAGCGAGGCATGGTGCAGTACGTTAAAACCTCGATTGTTTTTTATCAGGAAATCTAAATTCGGTGCATTACATAATAATTCGACAACTTCTGTGTTTTCCTTGCCAATGGCATCGTGCAGCGCCGTATCACCGTAGGAATCTTGAATATTCACATCGGCGCCGAATTGAAGCAGTTCTCGCACGCAATGTGGCGTTTTCTTGTGTGCGCATATGTGCAATGCTGAGCAATGGCTTGAATTTAGAAAATTGATATCAGCTCTGCTTTGCAGTAGGACACGCATCGTTTCGGGCTGATTACCAAAAGCTGCATAGTGAAGCGCCGAATCGCCCTCCTTGTCCACAACATTCACATTCGAGCCTTTGATAATGAGATATTTTACAAGATCAACATAGCCCTGATGAGCGGCCACTTGTATGCAAGCTTTGCCACCACTCATCACATTCACTTGTTCTGGATGGGCATCTAAGTACTGCTTCACAAAGTCTAAATGACCTTGGGCCGCCTCACGAACCAGCTTATCGGCCATTGACGTACCAGATAGGCCTGATAACGGTGTCATAACATGATCTGTGCGCCTATGACTTAGGTCCATCATACTGTTTGAACGTTCTGCTGCAGTAGCCAATGGGGATCGCTCTAAACGCACGCATTTCGGATTTAATGTCCACTCGAAACCATCATCGAGTTGTTGAATGCGCAAATCACCATCCGAGTAAACCTTTACAACTTTGCAATGTTTTCCCAAAGCCTAAAGAATAAATAAAAGTGAAAGATCATTGCCAAAAAAGAAAACTAATATAAAGAGTAAAATTCATAATTAATGTTATTAACGCTTCTTTAATTATGACAAATTAAAGTTTCCTATTGTTTGAGATTTTATCTCAAAAATACATAAGTTTTATTGACTTAGCAGGAAACTAGGTACAGTGACGAGCAAAACTGTAACATGGAGTAACACTTTTTATTGCAGCCGTCGCTATCTTTCCAAGTTCTAACGACATTCATACTGTTGTTGTATACTTTTATTGGTACATCTTTGCTTCCTCTGTCATAACGATTTGAAGTCAATTCAACAAATTAACAAAACCAGCAGACAAAAATGTAAATTAAGGCAAATGTTACAGTTTTGCACACATATATTTTTAATAACTTTTTGACAATTTTCACGAAAAAAAAAAATTATTAACACAATGTTCAGTATTCTTTTGCTTTTTTTTAGTTCCTGGTTGCAATTTGGCATACCTTATTTGTATCTCTGTAAAAATTCTGGAGGTATAGCCTCCCATATATCCTTGGTTTGCTTTCACAGCTCATGTACTCCATTGGACGGACTTGGATACTTAGTAAGCTGCGCTTTTAGTTGATTTCGCAAACTCTCGATGAGATTCATGTCCTCGGATTGTGGAGATCATTTCAAATTAGCAAATTTTTGCTTTTGTTCCAGTCTTTGCGAACATGTGCAGTGTGTTTTGGTTGATTTTTCAGCAGAAACTCTAATTTTTTCGACTACATCTTGCAAATTTTGAAATATGAACATATACTGTTCCTTACGCATAATGCGTACTAAAACGACCAACAACATTTTTGAAATACAACCCCAAACTATTATTGACCGACCACTGTGATTCACAGTTTGCCTTACATGATGCGCTTAGGCTTAATTTGGGCCTTTGATCCAATACCATGCCCGGCCATCTAATTGAAAGCGATTAATATAGTCTTGTCAATCCAAAAAACCCTCAACTAAATCTTAAAAATGTGTTTTTTATTGCATTCCGTAAGGCCTAACATATCCCAATAGACAACGGTCCGGTTTTCGTGCGATCCGGCAAAATGCTACCACTCTCGCACATGTATTTTGATGAAAATTGCTTTTTTCTTCTTTTGTGATCCATTGCGCTCAATTTGGAAATTTTCCGCCTCGCTGTCTACTGATTTGCATTCAATTTTAATACCTTAAGCGCTTCTGTAACAGTGGCTGCAGTGCTACTTGCTACTAAGTTCACAAGATATCGGACTGTAATATATTTTGACAGACTTCCTTTGTCCTTAGTAACACTATATATATATATATATATATATATATATATATATATTATTAATATATTTTTTCTCAGCCTTAACATTTTCATGTGGCAAACTCCGCAATTTTTGTCACTTTCCCTGCGGTCCCGCCTGTCCGCAGTAAATCTATCATTTACTTTTATGTTTCCTGATTAACCATATTATTTATTGGTTATCACTTCTTGAATAAATTACAATATAGAAAAAAGTCATCTGACTTCCAACTAAGCAAAAGATAACTGTAAAATGCAAAACTGAGAGTGAGTGCAAAACTGTAACATTTGCCTTAACTTACATTTTTGTCTCCAGGTTTTTTTTATTGTTCTTGGATTGACTTCAAATCGTTATGAGAGCGGGAGAAGGGGTGTACCAATAAGAATATACAACAAAAGTATGAAAGTCGTTAGAACTTTGAAAGATAGCGGTGGCTGAAATAAAAGGTGTTACATCATGTTACGGTTTTGCTCGTCACTGTATGACTAAAACAGTGGAACTTAGATGGAATTTTTCATTTGGATTGCATTTCGACATAAACGCTAAGTTAAGTATTAATGTAATGTAGCCAAAATAGTTTAATATTGGGATTGAGCAATTTTTGGAATGGTGGCAAATTATTTTTATATACTGTAAGGCTAATCGTAAAGAAAGTAAACATTAATTTTCAGGACTCATTGGGTTATGAAATCATCACAATTTTGAGAATACTGGTGGTAGCGTTATTTCGTACACAAAGAAACAGTCATTTCAGGATCGCATCCTAAATGTTAGTATCCATTCCAAGAACACTTGGCTTCAGCTCAATACAATGGCAAAAGTTTGCATTTTTCTTTTTGGTCAAAAATCCAATTATTTTACTTTGAACATTATTATTAAAGCTTTATTTATGTTTTGGCCAAAAATAGTTCTCAGTTTTACGATACACATGTTTATACTTACATAACGCATAAGGTCAATCCATTCACCATGCCCTTTTTGCAGTTGCTGAACCTTGTTCGCATCGTTTATTATAGTCACCAGATCGCCAACGCGAAATGACATAACCTTTACAAGAGCAGCCGGATGAAAGGTCCAACGATTAGGACAATTATCGTACTGAACCCTATATATATTATAATTTTCTCCGTTAATTACTGAAAATACCCTGAGTTCCAAAATGTAAAAATACAAAGCATTGGACTCATTTAATCCTAAAGTATTGCAGATTAAAATGTCCTGCTTGCGTAATCTTACTTGAAATGAGCATCTGGGCGTGGTTGTGGTAATTGGACAGCTAAACCTGCTATGGTTCAGAAATGAAAAATACTGGTGCTTTGTATTTTTACATTTAGAAATTCAGGGATACTGTTCATGTCAGTTACGTACCGTATGTCGCCCTTCTCGGTAATGCGATGGACGGTACCCAATTTAGGTAACTGTTCCACCATTCGGGGGTTCCATCCACCGTGCCCTTGCTGCAGTTTCATTAGTGCGTCAACATCAAGACACACCTTTACCCGATCCCCAACTGAGAATGTTGGCTTCACAGTGGGTACAACGGGTTGTTGCTCTTCCAGTTGACCTTGGAAAGATAGAAAATAAGAATGATTTCTTAAACTTGCTTGCAAAAAATATGTGCTGAAGCGGCTTACCTAAAACAGGCATGTGGTCTTTGTAATAGTATCCTCCTATCGACGGTACAGTACACTTTAAATCAACGTTACCTTTATGACCTAAACGATAGACGTTTGTAGAACCCGTTACCCAAGAAACATTAGCTACGCTTCTACAAGACTCATTGTCCCAACCGCGAATTTCCATAACACGCCCAGTTTTGCCTAAAAACGGGGAATATTAAAAAACATGGAAACATAAAATGGGTTCATGAGTTGAAACACACCTTCGCCACCGTCCTGCTGGCCCCACTCCCAATCAGGACCACGAACAACTTTGGCTCCAACAAATATTCCTTTAAGTTGGACTCGTTTTGAATTTTTTCGTGGAGGCAGACGTACTCTGAAAATGGTAATAAATTACAGTGCTGCAAAAAAAAAACACGAAATACACCCGAAATAAAACTTAGTGCAGTTTTTAGTAGTCCATAAAAAAATACGTTATTTTCGTATTTGATTCACTTATCTATCAACAGGCTTGATTATTTTTGATCCGATTTTAAAAATCAGACATCTTTTGCATATTTTTGTACAAGCTCATCGCACTGAAATTCAGTATTTACCAAATCTGCAGAGGTAACTGATCTCATTGCCCCTCTTTTTAACTCAATATCATCAACGAGACGGTTCTTCGTTAACGCTATAGTTTATGGAATTCCATCCCTGCTAATCTAAGAAACAACTTTAACAAAAGCAACTTCAAGCGATCTATCTCGACAGTGACAATATTAGTTTAATCCAGAGACCCAAAATAATTATTATCCTAATATTTGAGACCAACAACGTCGCCTTGTTTTAAGAGATTTTTTTCGCCTTTGCATAATAAATATTCACGAGAAATATTTTTTTCGTCTCGCGGGACGTTTATTTTCGGATGGAAATTATTTACTTCTTTTCATAATAATTAAATGGGATTTTTATTTCAAGACGAACATTATTTACGTCTTCTCATAATAATTATGTGGGACTTTTATTTTTTTCATCTCGAGGGACGTTTATTACAAGACGGAAATGATTTACGTCTTCTCATAATAATTATGTGGGACTTTTATTTTATTTTTTCATCTCGCGAAACGTTTATTTATTATTATTATTTACGTATTTTCATAATAATTATATGGGATTTTTACGTCCCACGTTTTCTCTTAATAGAATCGGTACATGTACTGCCGATTTCAAATTAAACCCAAATATCTCCGAGCTCGATTATTGGAATTTGAAAAGCAAAGCCCTTTAATTTGACACATCATTTTTGAAAACTGAACTAACGATACAGATTTAATGACATGAAAAATCGTGGCGTTACATATTTAACGCGTCAGATCTCTGAACTCAATTAAGAAGTTTTATTTCAATAAATGCCCCCTATAATTGTTAAGAGAAGACGTAAATCATTTCCGTCTCGAAATAAACGTCCCGCGACGAAAAAAAATAAAAATCCCATATAATTATTATGAGAACACGTAAATCATATTCGTCTTGAAATAAACGTCCCGAGAGACGAAAAAATAAATAAAAATCCCATATAATTAGTATGGGAAGACGTAAATCATTTTCGTCTTGAAATAAACGTTCCGAGAGACGAAAAAATATAAAAATCCCATATAATTATTATGAGAAGACGTAAATCATTTCCGTCTTAAAATAAACGTCCCGCGAGACGAAAAAATAAAAGTCCCATATAATTATGGTAAAAATTTTCCATTGGCCATTAATAATTATAGAGCAATATTTAATTTTATTTCTTATAATCGTTATGGTTTAATCTTATACGCCCAAATATGTAAGTACTTGTTATTTCTTCTGTATTATTGACTTCAAGTAGACATTTTTAGCTTGTTGCACCCGCGATACAAAAGATATAAAAGTTTGTATATTTCACAGATTATAAAATGTTAATTTGCTGAAACCGTGGAGAAGTAATGAGAAGCCAAATAAAATCTCAATAATATTTAATTGTATAATTTTAGCGACATTGAAATAAACGTTTACTCACATTGGTTGCACCCGTAATAGGGATGTAAAAATCGTGTTTGCAACTTTTCGACAGCTAACAATTGCGTGCACTTTAACATCGGGGACCCGACCAGTTATAACTTTTAAAATACAAATCTTTTAAAAAAGGTTATTTTCAAAGTTTTTGGAAAAAATCCAATAATAAGTGAAACATCTCGCACGCTTAGTAATATAGAGATGTAGCTCAAAATTCACGTTATTGGAGATTTCGTTATGCAATTAATTAGCTTGATAAGTAGAATATGTTCAGTCTAACAGATACTTAAACTTCCAAAATATGGCGAAGATATGTCCCTTTCCATTTGTATTTTTCTATACCAACTGTATGAGTTGATAAAACTTTGATTGCGTTTTCCCACAAAATTTAAATTTTGAAATACTTCGTTATATTACACCGTGCGACAAAAACCAAAAATTTTAAAATACGAAAAGATCAATATATTCACAAAACTAGGAGTCAAATATAGTATAACTGCGTTTTTAAATTTTCTCTCTGACGTCAGGACTTAAAAATTTCTGGGATATGATTGAAGAAAAAAATTATTTAAAAGATTTGGTGCTTGGTAGAGTTACTCTACTAGAGTAACAATATGGGTGTCAATTAAAAGGAAAAATTCTGTAAAATTAAAAAATAATATTTGTCAATGTTATTGTGGCTTGTTAACATTTTATTTTTATTGAGCTTTGTACCACGATTGTTTATTA